ACACTTTGGGGGTACGCTGTGGGTAAACTGGGGGTATACTGTGGGTATACTGTGGGTACACTTTGGGGGTATGCTGTGGGTAAACTGGGAGTATACTATGGGTAAACTGGGGGTATACTGTGGGTATACTGTGGGTTTACTGTGAGTTTACTGTGGGTACACTTTGGTTAGGGTAAAGCTATTTTTGCCTTTGTTTATTTCTTCATTGTCACAGGCATTTTTTTGTTTAGTTTGTTTCCTGTTTTATTTTGAAGTTCCCTGCCTCGTGTGTCCCGTGTTCACTTCACTTCCTACTTTTGTATTTTTCCCGCCTTTGTGATTGTCTGCCCCTGATTGAACCCTCCTGTGTGTAATCACCTGCACCTCTCCAGTGTATTTAAACCCTGTTCCTCTGTCTCAGTGTTGGTTCGTCTGCTCTGCAATGCTTCCCTGCTGTGTTCCCTGCTGTGTTCCCTGCTGTGTTCCCTGCTACCGTGTATGAAACCCTCGTCCTTTTTTTCCCTAAATTATCAGATTTTTAGTTACTCACTTTTGGACCCGCCTTTGTAAGTTTCTGTTTCAGACTATTCTTTATTAAATTCACTGTTCCATATCCTTCTGTCCTGCTCCTGAGTCTACCTGCATTTGGGTTCCCTGCTACCTTTTTTGCCCTGATGTGACATTTATCAAAAACCTCGACATCATCTGACCAGCAGGTGGCACTATAAGCATGGGCAGTGAGGGTGGTATGAAACTCAGGTGCTGTTCATGCTTTTGCTAGAATAAATCTGCACACAAGTTGACAGAAGTATCTTCCTGTGCTCCTTTCTTCTGTTCTCAACTGGAACAGGTTCCCTGAGGCTTGAGGCCGGTAACATACTCAGTGTGTTTGTAAGTGATGTCGACCAAAGACAATTCAACAAATCAGGAAACGATTAGCCTAATACACAAACCCAGCAATGTCCTTGTGAAATCCTACACCCTGACCTGAAATCCCCTTTGGACCTGCAGAGGCGTACCCTGGCAAATATTGCTTGCCTAACTCTGAGGGGGAAAAAAATACTTTTATGTAAATACTGGAAAAAAACAGAAGCCACCAGCAGCTTGTTTAAAGGCTGACCGGCTCGCATGAGGCAGTCATTGGACCTCCAAGACGTGCAGCTTTCATCTTAGATCTGTGTTTTTCTGAAGCTGATCATCTGTAGCATCATGAATCTGTGGCTCAGCAGTCATTTCCTGGTAGCGGGGCTGTTTCTGAGCAGCTCAGCTCTGACACCTGAAGAATGCCAGCCTTTGATCACACCTTTGTCTCTGGCTAACCCCGCCATGGTAAGCCTTCATCTGACTGTGTCTGTCTATTAGGCTTTAACTTTGAAGCAGAATTCAGCTATTTGGGGAAGTCTTCCTCAGCTTGTGCCTTTAGCGTTACATTTGAGTCAGAGCTGAGGATACATTTCTCTTGAGAGGTCCAATATTCGGCCCAATTTCCATTCTTGAATGATGTTTGTGTCTGCTGTCTCTAACTGACTTCCTGTTTGTGTGCAGATGTACGGCAGGTTGAACTTCATCATGGGTTACACTGATAATGAAATATATAACGACATCCTGAAGATGACCCAGAGCATGTGGTTGAATATCACCCCGTCACCATCCAGCAGCAATACAGTTAATTTTTTTCAGGAGAACAAGATGTGAGTCGTTAACAATTAAACATCAAACGTATAAATACACAGCGTAATACGTTCTGTAAATGATGGATTAATCAAAATATATGTTTAACATTTCTAGCATTGAAATGAGGGCACTTTATTATGTTCTATCCACTGAAGGACACACTAAAAAGTTCAGGAGCAATACTTTTAGTAATAGTGAAGTAATGACATCTTGACCTCAGGAGTAGTTTGACAAAACAATTCTAACTCAATGTCCACTTACTTACTAGCATTCAAGCAGATCACTCAGTCTTCAGCAGTGGGAGGAATCTTAACTCTTTAAGCTGACGTGGAAGAGAAGTTATAAAACAGCTGTTAGAGTATGAACTCACCTCTTCCTCGTGTCTCTTGTCTCAGAAACGGAAGCTGCATATCCTTAAAGTTCAACACAACCATTGACGGCAACACTGGATTAACGTCATGTAAGTTACAACACGATACTGGAGGTTCTACATCTTTATTTTGTACATTCTGTCAGTGAGAGAATCCAGCCGGAGAGATCGTGTTTCTGACTGGTTACAAGCTGCAGACTCATCACATGTCGTTCTGCTGACATCAGATACTTGTAGAGTTTCAACCAACTGAAGAATATGAAGCAGCTGTGGATGACAGCCACTGTCAGGAATCAGACATTAAACTTCTGCTGTGTACAGACACTTCATTTGTTTAAATTCAAGAATAAGAATTGTGTTAAACACAAAATCAGTTTCAGGAAAGTTTACAGGAAACACGTTCTTAGATTTCAGTCTCGGCGCTAAATAAACAGTTTCTGTTTCAGATGAAGAATATTGTTTCTTTCATTTCAAATGTTCCCACTTTGTTTCTGTCCTCAGTCGGCAACATCACATCGATGTTCCACTTGTTGCCGACTTTTGACGGCTATCTGCTCATGAGCCTGAGCAGCACGAACAGGAACCTCGACAAACTGCTGAGCATGCTGAACATCAACAGCAACACTACAGCTGAGGAGATCAACGTCCACGCTCTTTATCTGATGGGTAAGAAGGAACGAGCCTGAGGGAAGTTATGTATAAATATTAGTGCTGGGCAAGTTAACGCATTATTATCGCGTTAACGCATTCATTAATTAACGCCGACAATTATTTTATCGCGCATTAATGCAGTTTTTTTTTTAATTGTTAAGTGGACATTTTTAACACAAAAACCGGCAGCGAGCGGTGAACAGCTGTTTGTGTGGCGTCTCTTCCTTACTACTTTTGAATTCTTTATTGAACTTTGCCATAACAATGAGATTAATCACCATTAAAAATTGTAAATGTTGCCCAGCACTAATAAATATATATAAAACACATTTAATATCTGAAACATTGATCCTGTTTTGATGTTTTGTCTCCAGGAAATGGAACGGCCCTGAAGGACTCTGACCTGGAACATTTCAAGAGTCAGGCGAGCTGCCTCGGCTTCTTCAAGGAACCCAACTTCATCTACGACCCCAAGAACGGTGCTTCACCTTTTAAAGCTGTCTGAGTAATGCATGACATGAAGACGTGTGATGACGCACAGAACTGATCTCTTTGTCTTTCTCTCTGCAGGTTTCTGTGCTGAAGGCGAGGGGCGTAAGATATTCGGAAACTAAGAACAACATTCATGAATGTTTCAATCTGAAACTAAGTAAAGACACAAAATGACTCAAAACGTTCAACGTGTCGATTGTTTTTTATTCCTAATCTCATGAAACACAAACAGGTTCTTAAACTGTGGCGGTGTGGAGGGAGAGAGGTGAGGTTAAAGGTCAGACAGGTGCATGCAGGTATTTTAACAACAGGAAGTTTTGTAGCAGTTAGAGCTGCAGCCGTGACACAGATAATGCAGCTGATCAGGGCCGTCGATGGTTCACATGCAGCTCACCCTGTGATTGTCATCTGTTCACAATGTAACTTAAAGGCAGATTTGTCAAGTTTCATGTTCTTTTCAACCCGGGACAAATATGATTGCAAATGTATATATTATTATTATTATTGGAAATCCAATAACAATACTAAACAAAGACTACCAACCCTGGTAACACGTTATAATACCTACACACTATGAAGCATTAGTTATGAGTAAACACTTCATCATTTATAAAGCTTTGTTCTTACATTAACACTCATTAGTATGCAGTTCATAACAACAGTTATAAATGTTTTATTCTTCATTAATAAGCTCGTCTATTATGCGTTTCATGATTGTGTTTTCATACTTTATAAATGATGGATTCACCATTTGTAAATGATGCATTATATATATGACAAACCAATTATTGAGGAGTTGTAGATGATTAATATGATCATTTATAAAGTGTTAGTAAAGGATTAATAACATATTTAAATGTACATTATTCATCCATTTATATATATAATGATTTAGATATGCACTAATGGTTAGGGACTAGGTTAATATATGCTTTATCAACACGTATTAATACTGCATTTCATGATTAATTTGGTAGTTACTCATTAGTAAAGTGTTTTGTGTGACCTCATCTACAGTGGGGACTATTCATGCCTTATAAAGCATTTATTAATGACATTGAAAGGCCAAATAGACAAAACACAAAGTGATCAAGAACATATCAATATTTATTGCAAGATGCAAACAATGTACTCGTAAATACAAACCTCTCAGGCATTCATTAAGAAGAAAACAAACAAAGAGATTCTCCCTCAGGAGAACACGGCTGGACTTTTCTGGTGTTTCGTTCTGCAGTTGCTGCTGTGAACGAGCAGCGGGAGCTGCTGTGAGCCGCCCCAAAGCACCCACAGGCCACTCGCACAGCAGTCTGCAGTCAGAGCAGAGAGGAGACGCAGTCTCGGCGTATTCATGTATCTGGACTCTGCAGTTAGTGTATTTATAGGTGTTGAACTTCATTCTTACACAGTGTTTCAGCTGCAGGACAGCAGTGAAGGCCCAGGTATGAACGCACGGCCCCCCACTGTGTGCTACCAAACCAAGATGACATTTACAGAGTCGTTAAGCCGACAAGAAGTGGACTTCAGGACATGTACTTGTACTGGAGTATTTTTAGACGGCGGTATTTATTTTACGTTAACGGACAGTGTAGTGAAGTATTCAGACCCTGTACTTCAGTAAAAGTACTAATAACACACTGAGAAACTACTCCAAAGTGCTGCATCTTGGATTTTATTTTGTCTATTGTCTGTGTTGCTTGTAAAATGTGTGTGACGACAGATACCTCGTCTTTCAAACAAAATCGACCTCTGACTACAAATAAAGTTCAAATAAAGTGACCTGAACCCAGTTGGCATGAAAAGTGTTTCAAAGCCCAAAGCAACAATCGACATTGTGAAGTGAAGTTGAAAACACACCCACACACACACACACACTGATGCAGGTTTGAGTTGTTATTTTATTGGTTGACGACACATCTGACATGTTGGGTTTTGTCCCACGTCTTCACTCAGGAAGGAACCAGGGCTTCAGTCGCAGCAACGTCCACCTCTGGAGAGGATTTCTTGTGACAAAAATCTGTGAGAAGACAAGAGGACGGACGTTTCATTGATCTGTGAGGAAGTAGTTGTGATGTACTTTTTGATGTAGTCGTGGTACTTGTGGGAGCAGAGCTGACCTGCAGCTCCGTCGTAGCTGAAGGGTTTGTCGTGAGGGAATCCCAGACACTCGGCCAGCTTCCTGAGCTCGCCGTGGTGGGAGTTCATCTTCTCCACGTCCTGATGATGGCCCTCCTTCCCTGAAACACACACGGCACCGACACTCATGAGAGGTTCTGCTGTCATGAGACATGAACCAGTGTGTGTGAGTGTGTGTGTTTGTGTGTGTGTGTGTGTATGTGTGTGTGTGTGTGTGTGTGTGTGTGTGTGTGTGTGTGTGTGTGT